GAGGAGGTGGTACTGGATGTGGGAGAATGGGGAAGGAGGAATGGTGGATGGATGGGTGTGGGTGGTCCTAAAGGCAGGCTGTCCTCACTCCACACCCAGCTGAGGGCCCTGGCACCTGGAATGTGTTTCACAAATGACTGTCTAAAGGCAGAGGGGGGCCCTGGCTGGGTAGCTCAGTTGGTTAGAGCATTGTCCCAACACACCAAGGTGGTGGGTTCAATCCCTGGCCAGGACACATACAAGAATCAACTAATGCGCCCTAGCCGGTTTGGCTCAGTGGGTAGAGCGTCGGCCTGTGGACTGAAGGGTTTCAGGTTCAATTCCGGTCAAGGGCACATGCCAGGGTTGCAGGCTCTGTCCCCAGTGCGGGTGTGCAGAAGGCAGCCAATCAATGATTCTCTCTTATCATTGATTTTTCTATCTCTCCCTCTCCCTTCTTCTCTGAAATCAATAAAAAAAATATTTTTTAAAAAACCAACTAATGAATTCATAAATAAGTGAAACAACAAATCAATGTCTATCTCTCTCTCAAATAAATCAAAAAAAGGCAGAGGGGGCAAGATGAGGAAGTGGGGGCCTCAATGACATGGCAGGTGCAGGGAAGCTAAGGAGGGCTTCTGGGGCCAGAAAGCTTAGACAGGTGAGGGCTGAGGAGCAAGGGCAGTAGGGCTGGGATGGGTCTTCCCTCCTAGGGAAATGTCTCGTGAGTAGCTCAGTTTTTTAGTATTCAGTCAACAAACAGTTGCACCCACCCTTTTCCAGGCTCTGTGCTTTATGACCCTTTTTCCTTCTACTTTCCCCTTCCAGGTTTTCTCTTCAAACGAATCCTCCGATGAAGACCCTCCACAGCCCTTTCTTCAGGTCTCAAAGGCCAAGGGAGGCCGGCGGGTCTGCAAGGGGCCTTGGCCTGCCCTGAAGTCCCGCCAGTCTGTGGTTGCTCTCAACAGCGCCGCCCTAGTGGCCAGCCGGACCCGGGCCTTCCAGGAGCAGGAGCAAAAGCAGGAGCAGGAGCAGAGGGAGGCTGGCTATTCCTCCACACCCAGGCTCAGGAAGGTGGTGAGGCAGGCCAGCGTGGATGGCAGTGGGGAGGAGGGCGAGGCCTGAGCCCTCACACATGCCTGTGCCCCCTTAGACACTAATAGAGGTGCCTGAATCCAGCTCCTGGGATGAGCACTCCTCACTCCCGTCAGCTTGTCTGCACTCCTCTTAGCTCCTCCCCAGGAGGCTCCAGGCCCCCTTCACTACAGCCTCAGCTTCTACAGCCTTAAATCCCAGACCCATGTCCACCTGTCCAAGGGCTCAAGACTTTCTCTGCAATTGGGGATATAGTAGAGAGAATGACGGTGCTTTGGGGGGCATTGTCAACCGCTGCCTGAAACACTTGCAGCCATGGAATAAAACAGTTCCCCAGTGCTCCCTCCTGCTCCCTCCCTCACCCACTCCTGTCTGCCTCATCTCTGCCCCCTTCTTTCCTGGGGCCTCTAGGCCAGAGAACCAGTGGCCTCCAAAGGTTTAGAGCAGCGGTTCTCAACCTGTGGGTCGCAACGCCTTTGGCGGTCGAACGACCCTTTCACAGGGGTCGCCTAGGACCATCCTGCATATCAGATATTTACATGACGATTCTTAACAGTAGCAACATTACAGTTACGAAGTAGCAACGAAAATAATTTTATCGTTGGGTCACAACATGAGGAACTGTATTTAAAGGGCCAGAAGGTTGAGAACCACGGGTCTAGAGTAACCTCAGTCCTCAGTCCCCAGTCCTGGGAAGCTCTGAGGAGCAGAGAGCTGGGCCCTCTGATGGGGCTGGCAGGTTGGCCTCCCTTGCACGGCCTACAGCCGGCTGCAGTCTTGCTGCTGCCCCTTCCCACACCTCCCCCCAACACCCACCTCCCTCCCGTGGCAAGGCCCTGGGACACAGGGCACCAGGCCAAAGAGAGTCCTCATTTTGTCCTTCACAGCCTCTGGCCAGTTTTTCATAGTCTTAATAGTATCTGACTTTGTACTTAGAAATAAAAAAAAACATTTTCATATTATTTTTGATTTTATGATGAAGCCATCTACTGTCAGCCCAATTCTTCTGTGGTGACACAAGGAGTCTGGCCTCTTTTTACTCCTTCCCCGTCTCCTCACAATTCCCGGGTGTCTCGAGATGTGCGTGTTTGGGGTGGGGTGGGAGGGAGAATGGGAAAGGAGGGAGGCCAGCGTGGTCTCCTCCTCTCCTCGGGCAGGGCCTAGGTAAATGTTCGCTGCCCACGCCCCCCTCAGGTGGGTCGGCAGGGGAACAAGTCTCCATCGGGCAGCAGGTGCTGGGCTCTGTTGGGACAGCTGAAGGGCGTTACTCATGAGGAAGTGGAGGCGGCCAGCACCTGCCTGGACAGGACCAAGCCTGTTCCAAAAGTTAACGCTCCTTTTGGACCGGGTGCTAGTTCTTGAGCACACCCTGGGTCCTGAGAACCTTTTCCTGCTACCGGCAAGAGAATCTGACTTTCCAAGCCAGCCTGTGACTGCCTTCCCCTTCGGCCTCGGGGTTCCTGCTGCTTCGTTGTCATGTTCAAGACGAGAAAGTGGCTCCATCGTTGGCACCGGCAGCCCCTCTTTCCAAGATCACATTCTCTGTCCTGTAACACACTCCTTCGGTTGGGGGTGGGTGGGTGGGTGTGCAACTCCTTCCCTCAAAGCCAGCCTCAAGTAGAAGCTGCCACCAAGTGTTTTCATTGCTTTGAGACCTGATGCCCAGTTTTGTTTTGTTTTTTAAAATATATTTTTTTATTGATTTCAGAGAGGAAGGGCAAGGGAGAGAGAGATCAAAACATCAATGATGAGAATCATTGATCAGCTGCCCCCTGCACGCCCCCTGCTGGCCATGGAGCCTGCAACCTGGGCACGTGACCTTGACTGGAATCAAACCCGGGGCCCTTCAGTCCGCAGGCGATGATCTACCCGCTGGGCCACACCAGCCAGGGCCTGATGCTCCGTTTTAAGAATGAGTCCATCAAACCCGGGGCCCTTCAGTTCGAAGGCGGATGATCTACCCGCTGAGCCCAACCAGCCAGGGCCTGATGCTCCGTTTTAAGAATGAGTCTCTCACCCATAACCTGGTGCACTAATCCTAGAGTACTGAGGGGCAGGAGACTTGGGTTCTAAACCTGGCTTTACCACTCACAAGTTACTGCACCTTACGTCTCTGTTTCTTTCTAGAAAACAGACGGATGAGACCAGGAAATCCCTAAGCACCCCCCTCCCACTTTGATATTTTAACAATACCTGTCATGATGCACTGACAGAATTCAGCCCCTAAAGTCAGCTCTCCAGAAGAATCACCTGTACCTGTCTGTGGTTGTCATGCCAAAGGTCACAAGGTGGGGTCCAGAGAAGCCAGTTCTGAGTCCTGATCCACTTAGCTGGTCCACAAACACTAGGGACTGCACGCCCCCCTGTAGCCAACCCTGAATCTCACCCACGCTGCCCTTTCAGGAGCCCGGGGCTGGGGGCAGGGGGAAGTGTTGGTGCCAGGAAGGTCCAGTTGTGAACTCAGAGCTGTGGGCCCGCCAGAGTCTGTGGAGGACTCTTGAGAAGTAAGAGTTCAGCACACAGGGGAACAAAAACCGGAAACTGCATAAAAAATGCAGACTAATGATTAAGAACTCTGTACAGTATATACAAACTCACAAATTGTTATAGGGGCAAAAAATAGTTTTTAAAAAAAGACGTAAAATTAAAAGTATGTGTCCCTCGGATCCTATCCTTCAATCTTTCCCAGGAACCCACTGTGACCAGCTTCTTGAGACGCTCCAAAGACATTCCGTGCTTATGTCATCAAATATATTGGTGCATTCCTTTTAAAAATATAAATTATAGTATATTAACATACTCCTTATTCTCACTTTGAAAATTTTTTTTCATATCACGAAGAGTTGCACGCCAGTACAAAAAGCTCTGCCTTATTTTTATTTGTTTTTTAAAGCATAAAAAGCATTTATTTGAGCAAAAGGAGCTGCTGCTCTGCCTTATTTAAAATCACCACACATTCTATTTTATGGAATCCATCACTTAAGTGAACTTAAATGATGAACATTTAAGTTGTTGATAGGTTGTTGTTTTTTTCCCATTCCAGGTAAGCAGTACCCTTACCCATACTTTCTGGTGCACACATGGCCTCTCAATCTATGGGGCATGTTTCCAAATTTTATTTCTAAAGTGTCTGAAGCAATGGCCGCGTGCAGGTTTAATTTTGAAAGGCATTGCCTAATTTCCTCCCAACAAGTTGCACCGACGTACAGCGGATGGACTGCTCAGCCTGCACATCGGTGTCATCTCAGATGGACCTTGCAACACTCCCAGAGAAGGCAGGGCAGCTCTATAATCGCCAGTTTCACAAGTCGGGAGACGGGCGTCTCTGACGGAGCCCGAACCAGATGCCAGGCTTCCAGCTCTCAGTCCCCGCACTGAGCTCCTAGCTAAGCCCGAGGCAGCCGGCCGGGTCGGGCCGGGTCGGAAGCGCGGGAGCTCGGGGAAGAAGGGGCGGTGGGGCAGGAGGGTCAGGGCGGCCTCTGCTCCCGGGGTCCCAGTCCAACTCCCACCTGACACAGGAGCCTCTCAGGAGCAGCCGCTGTCGTCCAGCCCAGGCTCGAACACTTGAGCTAACGTCCCTCGGACAGTCGCTTCCTCCTGGGCCAGCTCCCACCTTCAGAACGTTCTCCCTCCGTCGGGCTGGGCTCGGCTCGGCTCAGCCCAGGCTAGGACAGGCCCGGGGCCAGGGCGGCCCCTCGTCAGGACAAGTTTTCCAAAGTCAAAACTGAACGCGCCCAAGAGAACGCGCCTCGTCTCTGCGCCCTGCATCCCAGACACCTCAGAGCCCCGGCTGCCAAGAGAAACTGCCTTTCTGGCCTCCGCGGCCTCTCCTACGCCCGCGGCGCCAGGGCCCGCAAACCCGGCGACTCTGAACCGCCCGCTACGCTCGCGCGCCATCTTGCGTTCGTTCCTCTAGGCCACCCGGGGACAGTCCGGAAACTACATTTCCCAGAGTGCCTAGCGCGTTGACGCAGGCGCCAAGAGCCTCCTCTGGTTTCCATGGGAACCTCGCCCCTCAAAGGCCCGGCAGTTCGACTGTGGAGCGCGAAGCTGTCGCTCCCCCTCAGGTGCCCCGGCGTTAGACCAGGTCTGCAGCCGGTTGAGGGGGGAAATGGGGGAGGGCTGGCGGGGAGGAGGCCAGGCGGCCCTGCGTCCCGGACTGGCGCTCCCCAATTCTCCTCGGGGTCCTCAGTCCGCGGCCTGAGCCCCTCCGCGTTCTGAGGCGAAGGGGTCCGGCGAGGCGAAGCCGACTCTGTGTCAGCGTCTTGTCACCCCTGGCTGAGGGCCTGTGCGCCCCTGACAGGAATTCCCGGGGCGCCGGGTAGTTGGTGCCGCAGGTGAAAGCGCAGGTAACGCAGGGCCCGGCACCTGGCGCGCCCGGGTTGGATCCGGCTCGGTCTCTGCGGGACCCGGGACGCAGGCTCCCTTCTGGCCGTCAGGGCCGCTCCTGTGAGATGAGGCTCGGGCTGGAGCTCCGGCGCACGGTTCAGGGCCGTGCACAGCAGCTGGGTGACCCGGGGCCAAGACCCTTCGTCACTCGGAGTTCAAGTTTCCTTTTCTCTAAAGCGAGGAGGTGGAAGCAGACTGACCCCTCAGGTCGCTTCTGGCAGATAAAGGGCCGTCGCCCCCCATTGCACGCCGAGCTCAGGAAGAAGGAAGGGGGACGGGCAGTGTGAGCAAGTGTCTCAGCTCGGGGGCTGCTCAGACAAACTCGGGTATTGTGACTTGGGCACAGTTATTGTGTCTCCTGGGCCTCACTTCCCTCCTTTGCAAACCTGGGGTAACAATAGTACTTCCTCGGGTGTTTGGAAATTAAATGAGACGTGTCATGTGTAAGTTTAGCCGGCGGACTGTACAGAGTGAGCGCCATCCCAAGACCCAGCCATCATTTCTGATACTTTTTAAAAGTTCCTTTAAAAATCGCCCCCAAAACCGTTCCTTAGCCACCGTGAGACCTTTTCCTAATGTTTGGAGCCATTTCTTTCTTTCTTCCTTTCTTTCTTCCTTCCTTTCTTTCTTTCTTTCTTTCTTTTTTAAATATATTTCTTTATTGATTTCAGAGAGGAAGGAAGAGGGAGAGAGAGATAGAAACATCAATGATGAGAGAGAATCATCGATCAGCTGCCTCCAGCACGCCCCCCACTGGGGTTCGAGCCCACAACCCAGGTATGTGCCCTTGGCTGGAATCGAACCTGGGACCCTTCAGTCCGCAGGCCGACGCTCTATCCACTGAGCCAAACCAGCTAGGGCTTGAGCCATTTCTTTTTACGCGGGGCAAATCCGTCCTTCTCGGCAGGATGGCTTTGAGGGCTGATTCCGATGGGGAAGCCCGAGTCTTCTCACCGAGATGGGAGGCTCCTGGCGGGGAGTTTCCTCCCTTCCGGGCCGTCTCGGTTTGAACATTACCAGCTGCACCTGGGCAGGTGCAGAGCCATGGCCCCGAGTGCAGAAGGTCTGTTCCCCTCCTTAACAGTCACACAGGGTGTCAGCACGTCCATATCACGATGCAGAAACCGCTGGATACTGAACGATAATCCTATATAATAAAAGGCTAATATGCAAATTGACCAAACAGCAGAACAACCTGTCGCTATGATGTGCACTGACCACCAGGGGGAAGACGCTCAATGCAGGAGCTGCCCCCTGGTGGTCAGTGCGCTCCCACAGGGGGAACGCTGCTCAGTCAGAAGCTGGGCTCACAGCTGGCGAGCACAGCAGCGGTGGTGGGAGCCTCTCCCGCCTCTGTGGCAGCGCTAAGGATGCCCGACTGACGGCTTAGGCCCTCTCCCTCAAGGGCTCCCCCAAGGGCTCCTGGTCTGTGAGTGGGCACAGGCTGGGCTGAGGGACCACCCTGCCCCCAAGTGCGTGAATTTCGTGCACTGGGCCTCTAGTTCTCATTTAACAGTATAACAATATTATGTAAGACTGGATACACACAGTTGCAAAGAAATGCGTAAGAAGCCTATGCTGTCTGCATGGAGTTCAAGCTTTGTGTTAATTGGTAAAATCCTAACAAAGAGTTTTAAATTAGCGATAAAAATGTTTTTTAAAATCGGGGAACTCCCAATAGCTCCACAGACTCATCCAACTCCAACAGGCATCCTTACGGGGAAGGAAGTGGGACTACTTTTTGAGCACTTCTTAGGTACCTGGTGCTGCGTGGGGTACTCTGAGGGATACAAAGATGCACAAGACCATCTTTGTGCTAAGAAACGTAGCGTCTAGTGGAAAAGACCAACTATGCATTGCAAACACATCTCCTACAAGCACCTCTCTCACGACGTGTCCTGAGAGAGACACAAGTAACTGTGCTGTTAACATTCAAGGCAGTAAAGACCACTGCTCTCAGCGGCTATGTAATCGAGGAAGAGACAGCATTCGAGCTGGGCCTTGAAGGATGTGGAAAATGTGAATATGGGAAAGTAGGGGAAAAGTATTCTGGGCACCCTCCCTGTAGCCCGAGACCCGGAGGAGAAATGTCCGTAGCCCTAATTACATGGTGAGCTTCTAGAAGGCAGCGACTGGGTTTGGATCAGTATTTTTAAATATATTTTTTTATTGATTTTTTTACAGAGAGCAAGGGAGCAGGATAGAGAGTTAGAAACATCGATCAGCTGCCTCCTGCACACCCCCTACTGGGGATGTGCCCGCAACCAAGGTACATGCCCTTTACCGGAATCGAACCTGGGACCCTTGAGTCCGCAGGCTGACGCTCTATCCACTGAGCCAAACCGGTTAGGGCTTGGGTCAGTATTTTATTCCCAGCTTGGTACATGGCTGGCACACAGTAAATATCAGTGAAGAATCAGGGGTTACGAGTTTCCTGCCAAGAGGAACCCAGATGTGGTATCTGTTACCCAGAGGCCCTTCTGTTAGGCTCATGTGCCCTCTTACAGTCACTCTTCTAAGGGAAGAATGTGAACAGGCAGATGATCAGGGGGTAAGGGCCATGTTGTTGGCATATTTAGTTCAGTACCAGCCAACTGTGCTAAACAGAGTGAACAGGGTCTTGTGAACGGGTAGGAGGGCTTGTGAGCCTCTTTCCCTGGAAAGGAGCTGCACACCACAAGGGGAGGAAACGAAGCAGTCTTAGGACGACGGATGGATATTCCTTTGGCTCTTATGGCATGTGTGTCTTTTCTTGGCTCTTATTTTTCTGTGGCTCACTCCTCCAGAGAGACATTTTTTCCCCCATCCGTGACCTACCTGGAGTGTGAAACTGTGTCCACTATGCCAACAGATTGCTGAGACCTGTAGCTACCACAAAGGAATGAAGTTGGCTTTAGCAGCACCATCTTCAGGCTGACTTCTGGGTTCGGCCCTTCTTCTAGTCCTACCTAGGGTGAACCAGGAGCTAGTACTGAAACAGACCACCACTCAGAGACACTGTCCAATGACCTCAGGGAGGGGAGAACTACCTTAGGACCTGGGGTGGAGATGTCGCTGGAGGAGGGCAAAGCAGAGAAGATGGAAAGGAGACTGTTGTTGTTGTTATTATTATTATTATTATTATTATTATTATTGACTTCAGAGAGGAAGGAAGAGGGAGAGAGAGATAGAAACATCAATAATGAGATCTGCTGCCTCCTGCACGCCCCCCTGCCCCCATTGGGGATTGAACTCACAACCCGGGCATGTGCCCTTGACCAGAACTGAACCCTGGACCCTTCAGTCCACAGCCAATGCTGTATCCACTGAACCAAACTGGCCAGGGTGAGAATGTCTTGAGGACAGGAAACACCTTCCTTAGATTTCTCCTTTCCTATTTAGGCTCACAGAGGATGCAGTATTTTCAGAACGAGGAATGTAGGAAGAGGTTAAGTGGGTACAACCAAGGAAGGGATGGGGCACAACTGACTGCCAATTTTGTTCCTAGATGTGGAAGGTGCAGGACTTCTAGGAGCCACAAAAGCTCCTTTTCCTGGCGATGCAACCCCAGGTGAGCTGTTACACCACCTTCCTGACAGTCTGTGCTCTCCCTCCTGGAGCCCTGCTCTTTTTCTCCAGTTTGCTCCCACTCCACTGGCTGCAAGTAAGTGCCTGCCAGGTATGTCAAGATTCCTGGGTTGCTAAGTGCCGTGTGAAGCCTTAACTCTGGATCTGTCCCTTGAGAGGAGGTTACAGCGGCTCGGGGCCTGCCATGGAGGCCAGCGTCAGCCTACTTCAGGGGCACAATGATCCTTTCCAGTTTACAACAGCTAGAAAGTCTTGTATTACAACTTTTACTTTTCCATCTGAGGAATCTGGGTTCATAGGTTATAAGTCAAAGAGCCAAATGGTGGCGTTGAAACCAGTGATGTTGCCATTGCCTCAGCTGTCACTGAAGGGGTGCATCTGCTTACCGGAGCGGCCACAGTCCTTGGCTAACCTGCAGGTAGACCAAGACTCTCCTTCCTTCCCTTTTCAGCCAGCATTTCCTGCCCATTTTCCTCAGTTCTCCAGCCCAGCCCAGCTTCTCTCTGACATAAGACATATTTGACCAGTCTCTCACCCTCAAGCTCTTGCTGGACACTGACATGTTCCCATGGCAGCAGGTCCATCAGAGAGCTGGTGCTCCTCCCCTTACTCTGCCAGGGTTGTCCGCTCCCAGGTGGCCACCCTGGGTAGCTGGGACACTTTAGGGGATTCTGTATCTGGGCTAGAGGACCAAGAATACAAAAGCTATTCTCCCACTGAATAGGGAGGCAAGTTGACAAAATTTGCCCAGTGGGATTCCCTGGCCTGGATAGGGAATGCCACACCCCCACTCCATTGACACCCCTGGCAGCAGCTCAGTGAGCCTCAGAGGTAAAGGTGGGGAGGTGGGTGTGGCAGAGACGGGCATGCAGAACAAGCCCAAACTAAAGCAAGGCCCCACATGCTGGCCTAACTCAAGCTAGATGTAATTGTCGGGGTGGGCAGCAGGCTAAGTGAGGGAGGATGCCCTGAAGGTTGGGGTGAGGAGACAGAGCTGATTATAAGTCACATGCATGATCTTCATGTGACCCGAGAAGGCTTGGAGCTGGGTAGGTGTGCCCAGGACTGCAGCTGCCAGTCTCCTTGGGTAGCACACACCGCCGTGCAGCTTATCTCTCGGTCTGGTGGACTGACTCCCATCTGATGCAGGCCTCAGGAGACCTTCTCCACAGCTTTCACTCTCACTGTTGGCCCAGCCAGAGGCCTCCTCCAGCCCTGTCCACAGTCTGATTATCTCAGTGTCCCAAATGGTCCTGTGCTAGGCTGAACCCTGCCTCATCAGACTGTCCGCACTCCTGCCAACCTCAAGCTCTTACTTTCTACACAGAAATGAGAAACTGGAAGAGGGAGGCTAAGTGCCATGAGGATAGAATAAATGGTTTGAGGCAGCAGATGGAACTATTCTGGGTCAGTGGGATGCCTGAGCTGGTAAGCAGAGATCCCCACCCCAGTACTGCTGGCTATCCCATGTGGTGGGTGAGGCCGGGGAGAACAAGGCCAGATGCTCTGCCTGCTGCCAGATCTGTTGCAGGCAGTCCCTGCTGCCCCACCTACCATCCTGCTGAAGCCTCCCCCTCCCCCTCCCCCTCCATTTGACAGGAAGGCTGGGATAAAACTAAACCCATTTCTTTTGCTTACAGTTCCTCGTTCTGAGTCTTGAGCTGCAAACTATCCTCTCCTGCTGACTTTCCCATTTCCAGCCCTGCTCTTTTATTTGTTCCCCCTCTCCCTCCACCCCTGGCCTACCTGCAGCTGAGCTCCTTAGGAGTGCCCGTCTTGTCTTGGCCTGCATGCCGCAGGACTGGTGTTCCTGGGCAGATACCTCTGATTCCTCTCAGATAAGAGCAGAGGCTATGGCAGGTAGAACTGCATGTGGGCTAAGTGGTAAGGAACCAGGTTGAAGAGACAGTACCAAAGGACTGGAGGTACCTGTAAGAGTCTGCTAATCCCTGGGATGGATTGTGGGGCCAAGGTGAGGCTGGTCTGATGGAGAAGCTGTCCTCAGAAAGAGAATTCTGTTTAAAATTGGACCCTGGATCCATTTGACAGGAAGGCTGGGATAAAACTAAACCCATTTCTTTTGCTTACAGTTCCTCGTTCTGAGTCTTGAGCTGCAAACTATCCTCTCCTGCTGACTTTCCCATTTCCTCTATTCTTCTACACCCAGGTGGAAACCTCAGGGTGATAACTCTCATTTAATCATTTATCAAATTCTGATGATCTTTCACAAAACAGTTGCCTTGCCCTAGCCGGTTCGGCTCAGTGGATTAAACATCGGCCTGTGGACTGAAGGGAAAGGGCCCAGGTTCTATTCTGGTCAAGGACACATACTTTGGTTGCAAGCTCTGGCCCCAGTGCGTGCAGAAGGCAACCATTCAATGTGTCTCTCTCACATCAATGTTTCTCTCTCCCTGTCTCTCCCTCTCCCTTCCACTCTCTCTAAAAATCAGTGGAAAAATAAACTCAGGGGAAGATCAACAACAACAACAACAACAACAAAAACACACAACAAAAAACACACAGTTGCCTTTTATTCCCACTTCTCCTAGCCCAAGTCCCTGCTCCCATGCCTAGGCCTCTGTAATAGCCTCCTAGTTGCTTATATCCTTCAGACTATCCAGAACGTCATGAGTAGATTAACCTTTTGGAGTATTGTATCATTTTCCATGTTACGCTCATGTTTATTGCCTTTAGTAGTGCTCCCATTGCCTGTCAAGAGCAGTATAAACTCTGTTCTTTAGCTCAGGGCCTTTCCCAATCTGGCACCAGCGAACCTTTCTGGCTTTATCTCCCAGAATGTCCTAGTACACACCTTTCACTCAAATCAAAGTAAACTCCTGACTATTCCTTGAAAACACTGTTCCACCTCTTCACCTTTGTTCATGCTGTTCTCTCTATCTAGAGGTTCCCCTCTTGCATTTATTCATTAAAATAAAGTGTTGGAAATTTTAAAAATTATTTTGAAAAATTTCAGAGCTACAGAAAGTTGAAAGAATAGTACAATGAACACATACATAACCTACATCTATATTCACCGGTTGTTAGCCTTTTGCCACATTTCTCTCTTTTTTATTTTCTGGACCCGTTGAAAATAAGATGTATGCCCTGGCTGGTGTGGCTCCGTGGTTAGAGTGTTGGCCCACACACCAAAGGGTTGCAGGTTCGATCCCCAGCCCTAGCCTGGGTGTGTGCAGGAGGTAACCAATCGATGTGTCTCTCTCACATCGATGTTTCTCTCCTTCTCTCTTTCCCTCCCTTCCTCCCTCCCTCCACTTTCTCTGAAAAAAAGCAAGGGGAAAAAAATATCCTCTGGTGAGGATTAACAAGTAAAGAAAATAAGATGTAGCCCTGGTTGGTGTGGCTCAGTTGGTTGGGTATCATCCCATGTACAAAAGGTTGCAGGTTCAATTCCCAGTCAGGGCACTTGCCCAGGTTTCAGGCTTGATCCCCGGTAGAGGGTGTGCAGGAGGCAGCCTATGAATGTTATGTTTCTCTCTCTCTAAAAATTAATAAAAATATTTTAAAAAGACACTTTGCCCCTAAATATTGTGGCCCATATCTCCTAATAATAAGAATATTAACACCAGGCCAGTGTAGCTCAGTGGTTGAGTGTCAACCTATGAATAAGGAGGTCATGGTTCAATTCCCAGTCAGGGTACATGCCCAGGTTGTGGGTTTGATCCCCAGTAGAGGCCATATAGGAGGCAGCCTATAAAATCAATTATTTTTCTCTCATCATTTTTTAGATGATTGCACCATATTTTATTTTATTTTTTAAAGTCTTTATTGTTGACAGTATTACATATGTCCCCTTTTTTCCCCATTGACCTCTTCCCCCTTTCTTTCATCATTGATGTTTCTATCTCTCTCCCTCTCCTTTCCTCTCTGAAATCAATAAAAGTATATATATTTTTAAAAAAAGAACATTAACTTACATAACCACAATATCCTTTCTTAAAATTTGTGGTAAAATACACATAACATAAAATTTACTATTTTAGCCATTTTAAGTGTATAATTGTGGCATTAAGTACATTAACAGTGTTGTGCAACTCCAGAACTTTTTCATCATCATAAATAGAAATTCTGTATCAATTAAATGTCCCATCCCCCCTGATGATTTCTATTCTACTTTTTGTCTGTATGAATTTGTCTATTCTAGGGACTTAATTTAAGTGGAATCATGCGATCTGGCTTATTTCACTTAGCACAATGTCTTCAGGGTTCATCTGTGTTCATACATGTAGCATGTATCAGAATTGCATTCCTTTTTAAGGCTGAATAATATTCTATTGCAGATGTATGTGACATTTTGTTTAGCCATTCATCTGTTGATAGACACTTGTTTCCATCTTTTTGCTATTGTGCATAATGCTTCTGTGAACATGGGTATAGAACAGTGATGGCGAACCTTTTGAGCTAGGCATGTCAGCATTTTGAAAAACCCTAACTTAACTCTGGTGCCGTGTCACATATAGAAATTTTTTGATATTTGCAACCATAGTAAAACAAATACTTATATTTTTGATATTTATTTTATATATTTAAATGCCATTTAACAAAGAAAAATCAACCAAAAAAATGAGTTCGCGTGTCATAGGTTCGCCATCATTGGTATAGAAGCATCTTTTTGAGTGCCTGCTTTCAGTTCTTTTGGGTATGTACCTAAAAGTGGAACTGCTGGATCATATGGTAAGTCTATGTTTAACTTTGTGAGGAATTGCCAAACTATTTTCCATAGCGACCAAGAAATTTCACAGTGATGCAATATTATTATCTAGACTACAGACCATAATTACATTTCTCCAAATATCCCTAAAATTTCCATTACAGCTTCTTTAAAAATTTTGATTCAGGACCCAATCAGGGATCACAGGCTGAATTTGGTTGTCATGTCTCTTAGTTCTTCTTTAGTCTAGAATAGTCCTGCCTTTTTTGAAGAATCCAAGCTAATTGTATTGTAAAATATATCTCCACTTATATTTGATTGTTTTGACTTATTTAAATATTACCTCACAATTAGATTTAGGTTAAACCTTTTGTAAAAATACTACATGTAACATGTTCTTTCTGTTGTATTACTTTAGTCAT